TGGTCCCTTACGCGTTGGTGACGAATATCAAATTAGATGAAACGGTGACCTGTATAAGCTATACCGTGACAGTTAGGCGCATAAAAATTTACCGGCTTTGCTGACTTGAAAGTGCTTCGGCTAGAAAGGTGTTCGATTCGGTATCCGCAGGTGAAAAACGCGGTAGAGGACGTCCGCATCTTCGGTGGAAGGACCAGGTGACCAACGATTTGGGGGCGCTCGGTGCTATCAACTGACGACAGCAAGCAATTAATCGGGATGACTGACGGAGGCTACTCATCGCGGTCAAGAGAGAATCACGTCTGTAATGGCTAACTAAGTAAGTACAAATAACTCTGTATCGATAAAAATTCGTAATAATGGTTATTTTTTCTAATTTAATACTATAATTTAAGTTTTAACTTTATATTAAAATATCAATAAAAAAAAAATTATAAACTGTTACTTGTAAACTGATCTTCGTCCTTTATATACAACTAAAATTGATGACGAAATACTATTAAAAAGAACAATTGACGGATGGTTTTTATTTATATATTATTTATTTACTTTAATGAATTTTAATGGATTTAATGCTATTAAACCTTTATAAGGCTGAGTTACTGATTTTTAAAACTTTCACTTTTTATAAAGTACTATATTGCACGTATTTACTAATAAAAAGAACATAGAGATACTAACAAGTACGGACTTTAATACACACTAAATCGAACTTTTATTTATATGAGATATATAGTCATTATAACTTACTGCCTTGCTCCTGACAATAGCTTATGGAATCACCAGTAGCTGGCCACATGTACTGCCTTATTAGTTCAACGTTTAAAGCCCAATTGTCTATAAAACCAGACTTTTCATAAAAGCAACGTATAAAGCACTGGGAAGAAACTGGTTTTAATTGAATTCCTTATAGGAGGAGTATTTAGAGTTAAGTGCAAATTATTGTCAATATGGAATATTTTTGTAAGTATTTTATTAATTATTATAAATAATAATAATTAATTTGGCATTAAGTAATAGTAACAATCTAATAAAATTTAACGAAATTATACTGTTAAAAGATTTGCACTTAATCGTGAACATCCTTAGAATATTTACTTCAAACTTACCATACCAGTTTTATCAATAATATCTGGTAGTTCACCAGTGTTATTAAATTCTTCCAAATAATCTATAAAATATATTATTAGTTTTAATCAATTTTTTTTTTATTAAATGTGCTGTAATAAATTTGTATATAACAATAAATACCTTATTTTATAGAGTTTAATATATTAATAGCTGTTACCCACCTATTGGTATAGAGAAACTAGAATTGCATAAGTTCGTGACCGCCTCCAAGTCTGTAACATTTTTCGTTGGCATTTCAGTTGTTACAGTAAAGTTATAGGAACTGATTTTTATTACATATATATCACCATTATCCTTAGCACCAATATCAGCTTTAATACAGCTAATCGTAATCAATAATATAAATATTTTTATAAAATATAAAACTGCATTCGACATTTTTATTGTAAGACTTGCGCCAGATAAAAATTGATATTTGTTTGGAAGTGATGTGCTGCTTCCAACTACTTATATTTATACTTAATGTGTAAAAAAATTGTAATAAACTTAAATATAATTTATTATAATAGCTTATTGTTATTTAGGAAATATATCGTTACTGTTAATTTTTTTATTGATGATATTGTAATACATTATAAGTGCTGCATTGTTAAGGTTCATATATTTAGTCTCAGAGGGTCGTGTGACTTGATCTAATTAAGTTTTTCTGTTTATTTAAACTAAATGAAGAAAATTATTACGTTTATATAAAAATAATTTCATTACACCTCCAATTGAATAGAACAACAATAAATTTACTTCCGGATTTGGTAGATTTATTTCGAATTGTGGTTTTAAGTTGTTTATGTGGTATGTAATACAAAATTTGTAGTCTGAAATGTATATTTATTTCGATGAGAGTATTATAATACATATTTTATATATAACGTATATAATATTAATATTTATATATATATTATTTTTAATATATAATTATTTAATAATATTATACAAAAATATATTATAAGTTATTTATAAGTTAGACGGATTCGAATAGCAATGAAAAGGCAAGGACAAAAATTTTATTTAATTTATTGAAATTTGGCTGATCATACAACGCTGTTTCGAGTATTGCCAACTACTCACCATCAATGATCTGAGGAAATATTCGAATTTCTTAATTAGTTTATAGTTCGTTTATAATTTGTTCAATTAAGAAATGCGAAGATTTTCTAATACCACTGTCTTTTCTCGGCTATTCGAATCCGTTTACCTTTTAAACAGTTTTTTTTTTGTAATAAAGACAAGTCACTTTCGGTAAGAAAAAATTAACATTTTATATATTTATATTTATATAATATATAAATATTTGTGTGGACTAAAGACCGGACAAATCAATTATAAGAGTTAATTATTAAAGAAAGGAATTGAAATTGGGATCGATAGATAATGATAATGTATTGCAACAATACAACAATACAGGTGTTTTACATGTAATATTATTAGAACAATCATAAATATATTATTGTTAATTATGTAAAACTATTAGAATAAAGGTTCTGAATAAGATTAGTACTCTTGTTCATTATACTCGTAGTACTATATTACATTTAAGGTGTACCTTGCAAGCAAGCACGATGTTTATATAGAAAGGAATAGGTCTTAATAGTTATTCTAAAAATATTCTTCTGCTTCAATGTGAGAACCAAAAAATAGAATTAGAAAATGTTTTAAAAATAGAAATAGATGCCAAAAATGGAAATAGGAAATATTTTTGGCATTCAGCATTCTTGATCTTGATCTCGCTTATTTGCGGATACTTAATCTTGTTGCTGCATAGTCAAAGTCAGATTATTACATGTATTGTAGGTTATTTTTATAAGCCTGGTTGCTGCATTCACTTCCACAAGAATTTTTAATACTCTTAGATATAGCTACAATCCATACGATTCATTTATATTTATATATTATATATTACAAAAGTTATTTAAAAGCATGTTTATTCCTTGGTTGCATGGCCAATACGCCAATAAGTTTACACACTAGACTTTGGGTTATTTTTCCAAATTTTTTGGCGCTTCTGAATTGGAACGTATCGCGAATAATTGAAGATTTACGGACCCGTTAAAGATACTCCGACAGTTAAATTGTTTATTAGACGGATATACATAATAGATTTTTCATAGATTTGGTTAGTAAAAACGGTTCTTTGGACTATCACATCAATTATATTTATTTTCAAGTATTTAATGCGTTGGTATTATGTGTCTATTTCTAAAAATTAGAAGTTCGATTTGTATGAAGTTCGTCACCTTTACTACCAATCATTGAAACTTGAATTAATTCAGTCGAGTAAGCTCCATATCAATACTGATCAATTTTTCAAAAATATGTGGAAAAAAAATTATATCATCTATTATATAGAAAATAATATCTAATATCTAGCTCTTAATTAAGTCAGGGTATTATATTACTTACCTTATTCAATATTGAACCTGAAATGTAATTTCAAAGTACAGATTTATACTAAAATTTGTAAAATATATATTTACTTGTATTTCTATTTCTAGTTCTATAAATACACTTAGTAAAGACAAAAGTGAAGGAGAGCGCTTAAAGTTTAGAGTTAGTATAAAAAAAAATAAAGATAAAGATAAGAGACTTATTAAATTTATAGTACAGAAATAAAGTAGGAATATCGGTCAATGTTAGCTCTGACCAACTAGTAACAAAATAAGAGGTAAAAGTTTATTTGGTAAAGATAGCAACATAGACACGTAGAGAGATAGATATATCAATTAGAGATTCAAAAAATTTTGATATTAAGGTCGAGAAGTGTGTTTAGTAATAGAATTTAGTGAAATATAATTTTAATTTGGAAAGCCAATAATTTTTGAATTTTTACTACAAAATAAATTTATTAATTAAAAATTTTGTTTATAATATTATAAAATTTTAAATTACTCTACGCAGCGTCCACGTTGCATCTAAACGTCAGACTTTAGCACCCCAAGCACGTTTAATTAAATACGCGCCTTTCTCTGCTATCATCACAGCTGGTGCATGCGTATTACCAGCTGTTACTTTTGGCATAATAGATGTATCCATTACACGCAAACCACGTACACCATGTACACGTAACTCATGATCAACAACCGCCATGGGATCCCGTGCTGGTCCCATTTTACACGAACCTGCCTGGTGATTTTCTGGACCAGTATTTTGACGCACCGCACACTCCCAATAAGCGTCTGAACCAAAGGTTTGTGATTCACAGCCCGTTACCACTGTACGATCTAAACGCATACCATATTGTTTCATGGGTGTTGTTTGTGACAGTCGTATAGCAAATTTGATGCCCTCGACAAGTGTTTTGACATCACGTTCATCGGTTAGATAATTTGCAAATATACGTGGGGATGCCATTGGATCAGCCGAAGCTAGTGTGACATAGCCACGAGATTTTGGATTTAATACTGCTGGAAATATTTGTATGCTGCGTGAATTATTTGAAAGTAATTCGCCCACTTGACCGGTACGTGCACAACTTGCCAAATAGCCACCGAAATAATATTGTAAATCTGGTACATCGGGACGATCAGCGTAACGTGATGCTACTTTACCAGTTACATCTGATATACCAGTACCGGACATAAGACCATCGCGGAAAAGTAAATATTCCATAGCTGTAGCCCAATTCAGTGGAGCTGTATCTGCATCCTCAATAAAGAAATTTGTGAAATAAGCAACGTGATTGTGTAGGTTTTTTCCGACACCGGGTAGATTATGAACAGTACGTATATTGACCTGATTTAAATAAAAATAAGTAATTAAGTAAAAAACCAGTTAGAAATTTTTATTACAAATGAATAATACCTTCATTAGATCTTCTTTGGGTCCAATTCCACTAAGTAAAAGTATTTGTGGTGAGTTTACAGCACCACCACTTATGATAACTTCTTTTTTCGCAATGATTTTACGCATGCTTCCAAACTGATCTACAACCTCAACACCGAGCACAGTCTTGGTATTGGCATTAACCAGCACTTTTGAAACTGTTGTGTTGAGTAGAATGTGAAGATTATTGCGTGTACGGGCAGGACGTAAGAAAGATCGTGCCGAGCTGTAACGTATACCATTGCGTGCTGTCATTTGAGCAATCATGAAGCCGGTTGAATTTTGTCCATTAAGATCTTGTATTGAAAAGCCTGTATACAATGTAATGATATCAATATCGGTTAAAACTTATTATTATGATAATGGTAGATAGCAGGGGTAGCTTATAGCTAGCTATGGAGACAACAGTCGCATTTAATATGTAATGAGAATCATCTGTTTTAGTTATAAATAATTAAATTTGTCACGCTAGGCAAGCAAACTAAGCAGGTATTTTTTGAAGGGGGCTAAAATTTTCTAACTTTATCTGCTCATAATTATTATGCCTGAAATATAACATAAAAGGCACCTATTAGATGAAGATATCTTTTAGTGCAGAATTTGGTTTTAAAATGCATGTCAATCTTTGATCTTTATATAGTCTTCATTTCATATAACCAGCGTTTTCGAGTTCAAACGTATCGTAAGTATATGCAGTTAACGGAATAACCCTTAAAAATAGTGTGACATAATTTTATCTTTGATCCGATATATTAATGTTACCTTTTCGTAAAGGCTATATGAAGGGTAAAATAATGCCTGTATCTAATGTATTTGTTGATGTAGAAAGTTTGGCTAACCCAACCGACCTTTAGTTGTCATTATGACTAATAAATACATTGACAACTCTAACTTACCTAATTCTTCGCCAGCTTTTAAGATAGCATAAGATAGTGGAGGATTGTATGGAAATTTCGAAACAGGTAATAGTCCACCCTTTGCATGATATTCTGTGCCTACTTCATCCAATTGCATATTATCTTCAGACTTAAGGAAAAATGGTAAGACATCTTTAAAACTCCAACCCGGGTTTCCCATAGCAGCCCAATCATCATAATCTTCTCGGTTGCCTCGAATGTACATCATACCATTCAGAACTGAGGTACCACCAAGAACTTTACCACGAGGCCAGTAACAGCGTTGACCTTCGGATGAAAGACAAGCCATTGGTTCTGGTTCAGTATTATAACGCCAATCAATATCGCTGCCAATGAAATTCAAAAACATAGAAGGTATTTGTGCCCCAACGGGTTCATCACCACCTTTAATTAAAAGAAAATACAAAATACAATTAAAAATATTAAATAAAATTAATTAATATAACTAATGTAATATAATATTAATTATTCTAAATATTTAGACAGTCTACAACATGAATACAGGAATACTATACTTTATAACTGGCATTTTTTCGATAAAATCTTGGGATGCCAGAGTTCAATTAGTTTAAATTCATTTTAAAATCTAGCTGTTGCCTGATTTTTTTATACTATAAAGAAGGTGTGTAAG